CAACCTTAGGTTGAATTTTGCAAACCATTTCCGTGCTGTCGACTCACCTATGACACCTTCTCCGTATACATTGCAAATATCCCGGCCTGTTTCAGCAACTTTTCACAACTTTTCACAACTTTCTGGCCGCGATGAAAAGCGAAGAAGAGCAGGTGTCGAAAGTGCTGTTTTTTACCTTCTTGATATTCCATTTCTAAGTCTCAATAGTAATGACGAATGAATCTACTGAAAAAAACGATTAACACAGTTTTGTAGAGCTGAAAGAACTCTATCGAATGAATATTATAACCCCTTGTAAATTGCAAAATGTCGCTGTAAAAAAAAGAAAATGTTAAAACGCCACGAACTTATTCCCCAACCTAATATATCGACATGTGTTTTATTTGTATGAACATATATGTGTAAATTGTATAAACATAAATTGTGTAAACATATGTATAAACTGTGTAAATATATATGTTGTTGGAAAGGTTTTCTCCAGATGTAATTTACATTATTCTTCTTTTGTATTAATAAGGTGAAGTGGGGTAAGTTCGTAAACGGGGCAAGTGCGTACACAGGCTATTTTTATTACAATATGAGCGAAATTTCTCCATTTAGTATGTTTATTTCCTTATTTTGTTTCACTAAATCCCCTTTTATATTTCAGCTAATAGTACTTGTTTGCAGTATAGAGTACTTGCATAATGCAAGTAAAAAGCATTTTACAACAGATTTGTTAATAATTTTGCTCTTGCCCCATTGCACATGAAATAAAGTTTCAAAGTATTTAACTTCAAGTTACGCTTTTACCCCATTTTCGGGAAAGTACAGAGTAGTTGACATTTTAAACAATTTCCTATCAAAATCAAAATGCAAAAGGAAAATTAAGGTCCTAGTTAATATTAATTAAATAGTAGTAATTGTGCAACGCGTACGATATCAACAGCGCTAAGTATTTAAATAGCAGAATGAAAATACTTACGTTTAAATAGCAACTTTACAAAAACCAGTCTACACTTACCCCATTTCACCTTACAACTAGAACTTTATATCGTAAAATTAAAATAGCGTTAAACAGGGTCTTACTATACATATGTATATATCGTGTGCATATGTGTATATAAGTTTGTTTATATATATTCGTTATTATTATTTTCATAGTTTGATGTATTTGTATAATGTGATATAGTGTTGTGTGAATTAAGAAGAGTAATAATTGGTCTCTACCGATTAAGTAGTAAGTAATACAAATTATAAAAATACTAAAAAATATAATGCAAATAATGAAAGCAATAATAAGTAATATTAATAATAAATAAATGGGATGTTTTAGAAAAAAATAAATACTAACAAAAATACTAAAAATAATAACATAAGTAATGAAAGTAATAATAAGTTAAATTAATAATAAATAAATAAGACATATTAGAAAGAGATAAATTAAGAAATAATTAGAGGGCTATATTCGATCACTTATATCTTTTATAACATTTTCGATATAACTCGAGAATCGCGTTATTTGCGTTGCGTCACTTTTGTCGCAAGGGTGCAATATGTTGTACATACACATTCATGCAAACTCTTTCGTTCAATCCTTTCGCTGTTGTATTTTTACCGGGGCAACGAGATTTGTTCAGGTCTCAAGAGAATGAGTAGAAAAATGCGTAGTTTTGTTTATAATAGACTCTTCTCATATGCAACCGTTTATTTTGAAAATTTATGTACTAAAGTGTATTAACCTTTTTCAAGGTATTTCTTCTGGTAGCATTTTTTTAAATTTTCAAATTTACAAATTATGTAATTCAAGAATTTCAAAATTTAAAAATGTTCAAAATTATAACTTTATAAAGTTACACATTAAACTTTCAAACATGTATTTCCATGTTGTAAATTTGAGTTTTTAACTTTTCACATTTTCAACTTAATAAATATTATTTTATTTTGTGGCACTTCTACACAAAAAGATTTCTCATCACTCAGATAGTTTTGTTTAGAAAATTTTTAATTTCTTGTATTTCTTATTTCAAATGTGTATTTGTATATCTATTTATTTAAACAAATATTGTTGAAAAATAAAAATAGTCTCATAAGAAATTTTCTATAATTTTTTCAATATTTCATACTAGTATTTATTCAATCAGACACAATTGACATTTATTTATTGCGAAGACTATTAATATCACCGTATTCTAATATCTCTTGTATTAATAATAAAATGATATTCCAGAAGAATCCCTTTTATAATTGAATTTATAGATAATCTATAATTAGTAACTGCCACCCTAATGAAAGCATATCCATTTCTTAATTATACGAGCGTAAAAATCTTAGATTGTGTGATTTTAATATACTCACAAATTAAAATATCGATCAAAAATTACGTACGTATCGTTACGTACTATACAAGTATTGATACAACCCTCTATTTTGAGACAATTAAGATGAAACGGACCGACAATACTACCAGAACAAATACAATCTCAAAATACTTTGTATCTTTGACATTTATTACAATTTAATATACCGATACGAGTGCACTCTCGTTAAATTTATGAGATTATTACATCGCTTTCTAGTGTGGAATCAGCACGTGCCGGACGGTTGATTATGAAAGACTCCCTTCGTCCTCTGTGGGTCAAAGAACGCCGAAATATAAATTCATATCGATGAAATGAAAAGTACGATCACCTGATAACGATATGTGCAAATATTATCTCTTTTAATGATATAAAGCACTGAAACAAACCGATGTGAATTCCACGTATTCAAATATTCGACAATTCAAATGGTAGATGAATCTGAAGCACGATTCTTATTTAAATAATGCACAGTGGCAAACCAAATTATTATAGTAAAATAAAAAATTACAGATAAAATAATTTTATGGAAATATTTTTATTGTAATGCAGATATTTTTATTATAATCTTACAATATATTATCTTTATACTATAATACTGCAGGATTTGCACGAAAAACAACGTAAAAGGATGTAACGCAAAAGAAAAGAATGTACTGTACAAAACAATAAGAGTTATTAAATAATATAGGAATAAAATCAAAGGATTAAATAAATATACAAAACTATTCATTTTTTGTAACAAAATTTAACACTAATAACAACAATACTTTAAATTAATTATACTTTAATAGCGTTTACGCGCACAACCGCCATTTTAAATCGTTTTTCTAATTTCGCGAACTTTCTCGAAGCATCTTTCGTGTCTGAAATTCGCCAACGAACTACTGTTCTATTTTACAGCGTTTCTTTACCTCGCTATCAATTTGTTAATAAAATCTATTTACAATAGATCCAACACTCTACAATAATAAAAATATTCATTTAACACGTTTGAAATAGTACAAAATTGACACAGTTATCTGAAGATTTTTAGTATTAATCTAAAGTCTCGATAAAAGCGAATCCCTTGGATCTAAACTTTTCTTCATCTCGAATTTCTTCATTCGACACTCGCCGAAGTTCGTCAAATGTAGAAAAGACAGCGAACAACGGAAAAGACCGAACGTGAACAAACAGTAACAATATCGGTAGGATAATCCTAATGCACGAGTAAAACATTTTTAATTATGATTTTTTAGTTTGAAACACTTACCAACATATTTGTAACATTTTCCTGGTTAAAATGAAACCAAGCACGACGTAATTCAAAACATATTTACTTGTGACTTCAAGCGTTTTGTTTATATTTCCTTACTGAAGTAAGATTCGCAGCAAATGGACAAATAATGACACTTCGAGTAATTTCGTTTCTTTTCGGTGCTATTCGGATAATCACGTGATACGTCTGATAATCGAAATCGTAGTCTTCTATTGCTTTACTTTGAAGATTTTACTTCTACAAGTTATTATAAACAAATATACATCGAATTACGTCGTGTTTGGTCTCATTTTAATCAGTAAAATGTCAGCAGTAAAAATAACACGCGTTTGGCATAGTTACTATTCGAAAAAACGATTCTGTTCGCGTTTGAGAAAGAACAAATAAAAACGGATCTCGCGCATTGCACAACGTGATCGACGCAACCGATACCTACATACAGGAAAGTAATGTTACAATATACTCTATATTATTTTATTATAATTTATTTAACAATAATACATATAATAAAAAGTAAAAATTGTACACAAAATATAAAAATAAATATTGAAATAGCGAAGGTATTTGAACACTTCGCCTCAGTAATCTGTCGCCTAATATATCTATACGTAATATGTGCTACGTATACGTATAATGATAGTTATAATAAAGTTTCTAACAATAAAGTCTTTACTAAAGGTCTGTAAAGTTGCTAACAAGAAATAAGAAGGGAAGAACGC